CCGGACGTGCACCCCGCGAAGCCAGAGGAATCCACGTCCGGAGGTGACGTGCTGAGCGGCAGCGTTTTTCGGCGAACGCCTTCATGCAACGTGTCCAATGTATCCAAAGATTCCATAATTGCAACATATCGTATTGTGTTACATTATTATGTCTCCCCCCCTAACCCCCCCCTGGGAGCTGCGCCACACCGCCGGACCAAGATGATCCCCCCCTTCTGGGGCCCTAAAAACCTACAAAAACCCATGAAAAAAATTATCCCGGCAAAGCAACCTAACAGCGATGTGTAGAAGCATATCTGAAAGCATTCCCCTTAAGATTCAGATGAAAATCCAGTTGTCGAATTCTGCTGTTCTCGCAGTCGTAGTCGCATTCGCGATGACAGTCGCAGCGGCAACGGCAGTCGCAGTCACAGCCTCAGCCTCAGCCTGCCTCCTCCTCCTCTCTTTCTCCTGCTCCTCCTCCTCCTCCTCCTCCTCCTCCTCCTCCTCCTGCTCGTCCTCGTTCTCGTCCTCCTCGTCTTGCTCGTCCTCCTCCTCCTGGTGCTCTCTCCTCCTCCTCCTCCTCCTCCTCCTCCTCCTCCTCCTCCTCCTGGTGGTCCTCGTTCTCCTCCTCCTGGTGCTCTCCCCCCCCCTCCTCCTCCTCGTCCTCCTCCTCCTCCTCCTCCTCGTCCTCCTCCTCCTCTTCCTCCTCCTCCTCCTCCTCCTCCTCCTCCTCCTCCTCCTGGTAGTCCTCCCCCTCCCCTCCTCCTCCTCCTCCTCCTCTTCCTCTTCCTGGTCGTCCTCGTTCTCGTCCTCCTCGTCTTGCTCGTCCTCCTCCTCGTGGTGTTCTCTCCTCCTCCTCCTCCTCCTCCTCCTCCTCCTCCTCCTCCTCCTGGTGGTCCTCGTTCTCCTCCTCCTGGTACTCTCCCCCCCCCTCCTCCTCCTCCTCGTCCTCGTCCTCCTCCTCCTCCTCCTCCTCCTCCTCCTCCTCCTCCTCCTCCTCCTCCTCCTGGTACTCCTCCCCCTCCCCTCCTCCTCCTCCTCCTCCTCTTCCTGGTCGTCCTCCTCCTCCTGGTCGTCCTCCTCCTCCTGCTCGTCCTCCTCCTCCTCCTGCTCGTCCTTCTTCTCCTGCTCCTCCTGCTCCTCGTCCTGCTCCTGCTCGTCCTCGTCCTCCTGGTCTTGCTCGTCCTCCTCCTCGTCGTGCTCTTGCCCCTGCTGAAAATGTGGCCCAGGAATGGGAGTTCTGGGAAGTCGAAGAGCACGAAGTTGCCTACAGTTGGCTACGGGCATTCAAAATGTGGCCCGGGAATGGAGTTCTGGGAACTCGAAGAGCACGAAGTGGCCTACAGTTGGCTCCGGGCATTCAAAATGTGGCCCGGGAATGGAGTTCTGGGAACTCGAAGAGCACGAAGTGGCCTACAGTTGGCTCCGGGCATCCAAAATGTGGCCCGGGAATGGAGTTCTGGGAACTCGAAGAGCACGAAGTGTGTGACTGTTGCATCCGGCCCTCCAGAATGTGGCCCGGGAATGGCGTTCTGGGAACTCGAAGAGCACGAAGTGTGTGACTGTTGCATCCGGTTATTCTAAAAGTGGCCCGGGAATGGCGTTCTGGGATCTCGAAGAGCACGAAGTGTGTGACTGTTGCATCCGGGTATTCAGAATGTGGCCTGGGAATGGAGTTCTGGGAAGTCGAAGAGCACGAAGTGTGTGACTGTTGGTGAAAAACGAGCCCGGCACCTGCCGCCCGGCAACTCCCAACACCTGCCCGGACCCCCCTGTGGAGTGATCTGCTGCTCTCTTTTGATCCCACTAGAAACCTATCAGTCTTCGCTGTTAGGTAATCAACAATTTCGGCCTCTTGGGCCTCTTGGGCCTCCAAGAGGGCCTCAAGAGGGCCTCAAGATGGCCCTAAAACGGCCCAAGACGGCCCAAGATATTCCCAACGGTGGCCCATGAGGCCCCCAAGACGGCCCCAAGAGGGCCCAAAAAGCTCCAAGGACGGCCCAACAGGGCCCAAGAGCGCCCATAACTGCGCCTCCAGAATCCGAAATCATTGATTTTCCGATGGTTCTTGCAATATTTTAGCGTTCTGGTCATTTTTCGGTTTTCAAAAATCCATGACGGCCCAAGCAGCTTCCAGAAGCGCCCCCGAACAACCCAAAAAGCCCCCAGGAGGGCCCTAAGAGGCCCCCAACAAGCCTCCAAGAAGTCCCCCAGAAGCCTCCCAAAGGCCTCCAACAAGCCCCCCAAAGGCCACACAGCGACTGGTGTGTAATGTTGCTTTCCCCCCTCTGGGCGAACTGCGGCGCAGCGCCAGCCAGGTGGAAGTTGGTCACTGCGGCGCCCATGATTGGAGCCGGCGATGGAAGGGAAGATGGGGAGGGTGTATGAAAAGGAGGGAGGGGGGAAAGCCCCCAAAGAAGCCCCCCAAAGGCCAAAAGAAACTCCCAGGAGGCCTCCAGGAGGCCCCCAAAAGGCTCCCAAGAGGCCCCGCGACGACGTGACTGTACGTGCTCCGGAC